GAAGCCAATGACAGTTCGCAGCGATGCTCGAAGACTAGACTCAAATATGATGGGCTTACCCTCGTTACGTTTGGTATCAAGGCACAACGAGTCGAGATATCGTCTTCAACAACTCTGAACACCCTTGCAACCGCCGTGTACAATGAATACAACTTCCCATTCTCCACTACCCCCCTCCTCCTCTTCCTCCTGCAGCATCTCCTTACCTTAATCTTCATCACCATGCGCTTCTCTGCGTACATTGGGTTCGACAACCGGAAGACCTGCAGACAAGGTCACGCAGGGAGAAGGCAGAAGCGGGAGGAGCAGGACCAGGGGGGGGGGGGGGACAAGAGGGAAGGAGGAGCAGGAGCAGGAGCAGGAGGAGCACGACAAGCGTCAGGGGTAGGAGCAAGCTTCAAATCAGCGGACCTGTGTGACGCTTCCACTACCGTTGGCGGGTATGACGGAGGCTGACGGAGGGTTTACCTGCTCCTCGTTCAGCTGGAATTGTGCTGGGAGATTCGGTTTACCTGCAGCTTCGCGTGCTTGGGTACTGCAGCTTGAAAGACAAAAGAGCTGACGGGGAACTGAAGGTAGACAATCAGTAGGAGGAGCGCGGGCAGCAGTGAGAAGGAGCAGCAGGGGGAAATGGATAGCGATGAGCAGGTGAAGGAGTAGCAGGAAGAGGAGGACGATCAGGAGCAGGTGCATGAGCAGGATCAGCAGGAGGAGGCAGGGGGGAACAAAGAAGTCAGAGGCAGAGAGGGCATCAAGTCGTCGAGGATAAACAGAGCACAAGGGGAGGAGGCAACCCCAAAGACACTAAAGGAGGAGAGGAGGAAGAGAGAGAGAGAGAGGTCTGTATGCTTCAGACGTCACCGGGTTGTTGTTGGTGTAGGTGGCGTTGACTTGAGTCAGCTGGGGGTTCGATGGATGCCTTCCGGGCAAGGGCGTTAGCGTCTTCAAGGTTGTCAAGCAGCTGAGAAACAGACTTGCTCATGTCAAACTGAATCTGAATCCCGTTCTTGTTGTACGCCACGATGCTCATCCCCCCATCTCCTGCAGCAGCTGCTGCAGCTGGTGCTCCTCCTCCTCCTCCTCCTCCTCCCGTCATGAGTCCTCCGAGCAAGTCCTGCTGGGGCTGGAGGCCCTGCGAGGAGTGAGCGGGGACGGCGGGTGAGCAAGGGGGGGGCTCACCGGCAGCGGCGCGTCCGACATGCTGAGACTTGGCTGAGCTGGAGCCTCAGTAGGGGGAGGGCCGAAGATGTCACCCATCAGGTCCACCAGAGACTGTCGAGGCTGGTCAGGAGGAGGAAGAAACAAGTTTCCTCACCTGCTGGGAGTTTGCGGCAGCTGGGGGAGGGGCCTGGTTGCCGTTGGGGTTGGCGGGGAGGTCGCCGAGGAGGTCGAGGAGGTCGTCGACAGCAGAGGGGGCAGGAGCAGCTGCGGGTCTACCGGTCGTCTGCCTGCTGGTTGAGGGGGTCTGAACCTCGTTGTTCGTGACAGCCTTGAGAAGAAATGAGAACTTGCCACACTACACCCTCATACTCCAGCACTTCCCTCCCACTTCCCCTCCCTTCCCTCCTCCCTCCTCTCCCTCCACTTCCACTCGCCTCCCTCCCTCCACTCTCTTCCCTTTCCCTCGTTCGCTTCCCTTCCCTTTTCCTCTCCCTCACCTCGTCGTCGGGTGTAGGCATGTGATCCATAAGCTCCTTAACCAGCGATGGCTGAAAGCAACGACGTTAGTTGAAAGAAGAGAGAAGCAGGGGCAGGGGCAGGGGCAGGGGCAGGGGCAGGGGCAGGGGCAGGGGCAGGGGCAGGGGCAGGGGCAGGGGCAGGGGCAGGAGGCACTTCAAAGCATCACCTCCATCTGTGCGAGCAGACTGTACTCAACGGCTCGTTGCTGCAACTACGAAATGGTCAAAATGGACAAAAATAAACAAGACGAGGTGAGGAGAGGAGGGGAGGGGAGATAGGAACGCGGGGACGAGGAAGAGGATGAGGAAACAAGAGAAAAGAAGAGAGGAGAGCAGAGAAGGGGAGGGAAATAGAAGGAGCCAGAGAAGATTTGAATAGAAGAGAATCCAAAACGAATTGAAGGATAATAATGGACATTAACAACTTACTTCGACAAAAATGCTTGAGGAATGCTTCTCGAGAGCAGATCGAATCGTCATCCTGGATGAATGAGATTATCTTCGATCTCAGTCCTTTCCTCCATCATCATTATCTCATTCAGCATCAGCATCAGCATCTCCTTCATCATCATCATCATCATCTCCATCATCATCATCATCATCATAGTCATAGTCATCATCATGGTCGTCGTCATCTTCATCATCATCATCATCATCATCATCATCATCATCATCATAGTCATAGTCATCATCATGGTCGTCGTCATCTTCATCATCATCATCATCATCATCATCATCATCATCATCATCATCATCATCATCATCATCATCATCATCATCATCATCATCATCATCATCATCATCATCATCATCATCATCATCATCATCATCATCATCATCATCATCATCTCCTTCATCATCATCATCATCATCGCATTGACTCGCATCTCTTTATCTCCAATCCTCAGTCGAACCTCATCGGTGCATAACGGCTGTACAACTTTACAAGTGCTGTGAGGATATATTGCTTGACTGTAACCTGTAAGAAATTGAGACCATTCATTCTACCCTACTACCTCTCTCGCTCTCTTTTTGTTTCTCCCCCCTCCCTTCCTCCCTCCTCCTTCTCTTCCTGTTTCCTATCACTTCCTCCCCTCCCTCCCTCTTCCCCCTCTCCTTGCAATTTCCCATTCCAGGCTCCTCACCGTCTGCAAGCTCGAGTCCAAGGTTTGCACGAGGGTCGAAATCACTCTGACGAGTTTTCAGCATAGAGAAAAACCAGAAGGAGGAGGATGCGGTGGTGGGAGATGAGGAGGAAAAGGGAGGGGGAACTCAGGTAGAGGATAAGGGGCAGAAGGGAGAAGGGCATCGAGGGGGATACCGGTCGGATGGAACAGCCTCAAGGACAGTGTCGGTCTCGTCGATCCTACAGGACGAGGAGAGGAGCTCTCCGTACTCGCCGCAGGTCCACGCGGCAATGCAAGTGAGTTTGCTCTTGCTGTTGTCCTTCTCTAGCGCACTGCAGGGACAAGAGTGAGGGTGAGGAGGAGGAGGAGGAGCTGAGGACACGAGCTAGAGGGACAGACAGACGGACAGACAGACAGACCGGGAGCAACAGGAAACGAGTGGGGAGGGGAGGGAAGGAGAGAAAAGAGATAAAGGAAAGGAGACAGGCAAAAAGAGAGCTGATGAGGACGAGGAGGAACGAGAAAAATGCAAACACTGAGAAACCGAAGGGAGGAGGAAGAAGGAAGCAGGTATGAAAGGAGGGAGAGAAGACCGGAAGAGCGAATGTGCGGCGAAGGACTGAAGGATGCTGTCGGAGGATATGAGGACTGGGAGGAGAGCGGTGACCTGCCATGGTCGCAAATATGATCAGCAGGTGAAGCAGGAGAGGAAAAAGAAGCCGACCAAAAGGAACAGGGAAGGAGCAGGGTAGGAGCAAGAGAAGGAGCAGCACGACTAGAAGGAGGAGGAGCAGGAGGAGCAGGAGGAGGAATAGAACCTGATCATTGACGTATTCTCCTGCCTCTGTCAAGACCTTGATGATTGTATCTGTCTGAAATAATTTTGAGGAAGCATGCTTGGTAACAACGCTGCGAATAGTTGTCAGAAAGCAATCTCTTCGATTCATGGAACAACTTCACCTGCAGATCTTCGATGTCAAGTCTTCCTTGAATTCAACGTCTGAGTTTGACAAGTAGACCAGCAACTCCTTGATCAACGGCCGGACGTTACTTTCGTTGACTAGAAGGTAGACTAGATCCAACGCTCGTCTCCTGTCGTCCATCGTTACAATCCTGTGCCCTCCCTCATCTCTCCTCCCACCTGATCGAGATGTCTGGATCTTTCAGACATTCTACTACAGTTCCCCTGCGAGACTTTCGTCAGGACCAGAAGACACGAGGAAGAAAACAGAAAAAGATCACGAGGAAGAAAACAGAAAAACACGAGGAAGAAAACAGAAAAAAGACACGAGGAAGAAAACAGAAAAGATCACGAGGAAGAAAACAGAAAAAGATCACGAGGAAGAAAACAGAAAGGCACGAGGAAGAAAACAGAAAGACACGAGGAAGAAAACAGAAAAAAGAAACGAGGAAGAAAAAGAAAAATCCAGAAAAGAGCGCAGAACTGAACTAGCACAGAACTTCTCCGTCTATTCCTCCTCCTCCTCCTCCTCCTCATCATCATCATCATCATCATCATCATCATCATCTCCATCACCTATGCCTCTGGATCGCTTTGATGTCACCCGAGGCAACGAGTGCCAAAGTATTCAGACCGACGTATCGGATATTGTTGTCCCGATTGAGAAGAAAGCGACCAAGAATGTTTACAGCGAGAACTCGCTGTGATATCATCAGATATCTCGCACTCTCCTCCTCCTCCTGTTCCTCCTCCACCTATCCCTTAAAGCAAACTCACCAGTCCGCTGTCTGCTTCGATCCCAACGATGGTCAACACACACTCGTACAATATCGCGTTTCCTGCATTCTTGGCAGACTCCGTGTTGGTCGCAACCTGCAAGTAGCCAGTGAGGAAGTAGGGAGGGAGACAGGGAGAAGATGAGCAAGGAGGAGAGAGAAGCACAGGAGCAGAGGGGGAGCGAGCGAGCGAGGGGCAAAGGAAAGAAGGGAGTAGGGAGCGAGAGAGGGACAAAGGAGGGGAGGGAGCGAGGCAGACTATGGAAGTGAGAGACCTGAGCGAGAATGTCTGAGATCGAGTCTGAAACTTCTTTGTCGCCTTTCGCCAACATCCTGAGTGCGCGGAGAATCTTGACCTGAGGCATTCATCACTAAACAGAGGGGAAGCAGGAGCAGGAAGCGCGGAGGAGGAGCAAGAGGAGGAGGCATGGAGGAGCAGGAGGTGTGGAGGAGAAGGAGAGCTGTCGGACCTGCAAGAATGGGTCCGTGATTCCGCATACGTCATGTTCTGGTGCATAGCCGGAGAGCACCTGAGGTAGTTGTGAGACTTTGAAGGGAAGGCAAGAAACGTCGCACGAGATTCTTGAGCATCTTAAGCAGCTGCTGTGAGAGACTCCTGCGCTCCCGTTCAGTCTCCCTGCCATCACTGACATGCTTTCGACCGGAACGACGGGATCAGGGAAGGCTCGGTTTCTGCAAGCTCAATGAGGAGCGAGAGAGTTCCAATGAGAACGCCTGCAGTCGCAGTGAGTACGAGAGGTGAGGTAAGGCCAGATCATGACAGGACAGGACAGGACAAGACAAGGCAAGAGAGAAGGAGAGGAAAGAGAATGGAGAACCAGACAGAAAATTGGAAGGGGAGGGGAGGAGGAAAAGGAGGGGAGGGGAGGCATGGCATGGCAAGACCAAGCGAAGGAACAGGGAAGGGAAGGGAAAAGGACAGGAAAGAACATGACAGAACAGGAGGATAGAGCAGGGCAGAGCAGAGAGAGAGGAACGAGTATTCGAACAGACCGTGGTTGCGGTCGGATAGAAGACTTGAGATGCGATCGATGTAGTTCTCGATCATGTCGGGACACTGCCACACATTTCACCTCCTCTCCTTGCAGGCTCGAGATGGTGACCTTTCTCGTGATGCGGAGAAGACACAAAACTGACTTCTTCCTGACGTAGGCATTCGGGGAGGACAGAAGCTTCTCTACCTCCCCCGCAAGGTCGCGGCAGCTGCACACCCGTCATGGCAACGCCGAGCCTCCTCCTCACCGACATGTCAACGCTTCCGATGTCGCCGATGGCACAGAGGGCTTGACCGATGACGAATTGGTTGGCATGGCCAAGGTCGTTCTTCAACGAGTTTGTCACGAGCATCAGCACCTGCCAACCAGGAGCGAGTGAGAACATGTCCGCTGAAGTTGAGTTGGACGGCTGACTTCCGTGTCCTCGTCCAAGAGCAGCATCAGTCCCAGGTACCCTGAAGTCACCCAGTGCCGTGAGCACAGGCGAAGTCAGGACTCCATTCATCGCCACCTATTCTCTTCTCGGGGAATCGCGGGCTTGCGATCAGTTTCAGGCATTCCATCTGCCAGCAGCGTCAGGTCACACCCTGCCAGCGACAGTCTCACCTGTCCGAAGTGGGTCGGGTATCCCAGCATGTGGATGAACAGCAGCTTCGCGACATTCCTATGCCTTGAGAGAGGAAAGGTGAGGAATGGGAGGCTGCCGCATGCTTATCTACCTGTAGGGGTTGTCCTCGTCCTTGAAAGCTGTTCTGATCGCCGCGCACTCCTGATACCACATGTCACAGTAGACAGATCTTGCTTGCTCCCTTACCTTGGCTATCGCGTCTCTTTCCTCCGCCTGCGTCTTACACGCTCGCACGGCTCGTATCAGCTCCCTGAAAACGCAAATTAGATGAAGAGATGAAAAGATAATCAGCACGAGAACATCCGTCGAAATTATCCCTCCTCCTCTCCCCTTCCCTGCACACATACACACTATGCACAACTCCCTTCTTTACTCTGTCCTTCCTTGCATCTCAACCACCTCAATCTGATTAGCTTTTTCCTCTCTTGTTATCTCATCACCTACCCCCTACCTCGTCCTTCCCTGTCCAGCCTTTCTCTATCCTGCCAACTGCTCTCACTGCTCTTCCATCTTCGTCAACCACCCTTCTCATCCTCAAAGATTTTCTCTTTGGATCCCATCGGTCCCCATTAATTTCCATACTTCTCTTTTATTTCTTTTCATTTCTCTTGCCTTCCTTATCCTCGTTGATCTTGCCTTTCTATTTCTCTGAGATCAGCTCTGCACTCCGACCTTGCCCAATCTGCTTCTCTATATTCTCGGTCGCTTGTCCTACCCTTTCCTGTGCTCTCCATTTTCCCACCATCACTCCTCTCCTCAAAGTTAAGTTAAACTTCTCCATTGCCCCACCATCTCAAACCATCTCCCCTTCCATCCTATCTCCTCCCCTCCCTTTCTCTTCCCCCCCGCCCTGCCCGCGCTCGCTACGAGTCTCAACAACACCTAGCAACGGTGAATACTCTCTTTCACGTCAACCTATCTCACCTCCATCTCCTCCTCCGTCTGCAAGCTCCGCACCGTCTCCAGCGCATCCTTAGCGAGCTGCACGTAAATCTTGGTGTTGAGCTCCATGTTGGAGGCGGCATGAAGAGCTTTGACCCGAATCTGATGGCGACGACGACGGAGATCGAGAGGAACGGGATAAGACAAGGAGGAACGAGACAAGAGAGCGTACCCTGCGATCTTTGTGTTGGAGGAAGGAGAAGAGGGATGGTGGATAGTTCTTGAGCGGAGCATTGGAATCATCACATC